AAGAGCAAAAGCCCTTTTAATCCTTACTAGAATCTCTCAAGATAGAATAAGAGTGAAATGAGAGAAAATAAGAGAAGATAAGAACAAAAGCTCTCTTTAGAATGTAATGTCTCTTAAATGGTGTATTTTTTATGCTTAGACATTCCTTTGTTATTTATAGAAATTTTAGAAGATGAAAAATGACGCCAGAGGTGGACAGCACAAAGCACAAGACAAAAGAGTCGTTAGATTTGAATTTCCAAGAGTAGAGCCTGCTCTACTTTGAATGGAGTTGGCTCCATTTGCTTTGAGAGTCTGCTCCTTTCAAAAGGAGTCGGCTCTATTGCTGGGAGTTAGAAGTTTCGTGACAATTTGGCTACTAGAATGATAAGAGCCGGCTCTACTTGAATGGAGTCAGCTCTATTGATGGGCAGAAATTCAAATAGACATAACTCAGTCCATTTAACTCTAAATGAGGTAAAATTTAAGTCTAAATTTATTGTCTTGAAGTCAGTTTTCTAATGCCACTGGCCTTACTCAAAAATTCTAACCAGAAAAATATTTATGGCCATTTTAGTGCAACCTGGTCAGAAATTTCTTAAACCAGAAACATGCATCTTGTGATGCTCATATCTCATTCAATTCAAATCATTTTTAGGTGATATTTAAGTCTAAACTCAAGGGCTCAAAGTTAGATTTCTAATGCACATGGCCTTACTTAAAAACTCCAACTACAAAAATAGTTATAGCAGTTTTAGTACAGGCTAATATGAATATTTTCTCGGCTGAAAATTACTTCTAATGAGATAGTCATCTTTCTATCACCTATGACTTTGATGTATGGTTCAATTTAGTTCAATTCTAGTTTCTAAGGGTCCAGGGACATATAAGGATGATAAATATCAAGTGCATTGAGTCCTTGAGTCATTTACCAAATTATGGTAACAAAGGCTTTAAAGATGAAAGATTAAGTTCAATGCCTTTACCTTTACTTTCTGGAGACCAAAATAAATCTTATAATTAATGTGCATGGTCCTAGAATTTTTAGCTTAAATATTGAGTCCTTTCAAAGCTTAAGCAAGCTTGAACTAACTCATTATTTAGCAATGACTTCATATGTCAATTAGATGTGAATGAAGTTCATAGTCTATTGTTAATGGTCATAGGAACTTATGAATAATGTAATGATATGCATGGTCGTATAGAGATGAGCTTCAAATGTATTCATAAAGACTTTGACATTGAATCCTAAACACTCACCAACCTATCTACCCCTTTCTTCATGCTTTGTACATGATCGTGTAGGCTTTGAGGTAGTATTGCTTTCTTCTTTCCTATGAGTTGCTTTCTTGCTCATTGTAGTCCAAGCTATCTTTGGATGGACATTGCATTTGGTTCCTTGCAACTTCATGTCTTCATTGTATCTATTTCTTTCCTTGATGTGATCTCGAATAATGGAATACTTGGAATGATCTTTAGTGCTTCATTGAGGTCATTCTTTGAATGTGAATAATCTATATAACACTCAATGTAAACATTAGTCCTTAAACACCATTAATGATTTGTTATCATCAAAACCTCTAGATTGTCCTTGGATGAAATCCTTAAGGTCAACATGCATTACTATCCTCAAATATAATGCACCAACACCACAAAATATGCCCATCATCAACAAAACATGGCACATAGTATCATTAAAATACCGTTATGTATTTTTGCATGGAAATCTCAATGACACAAAGGAATTGTGAAATGACCATCCATTATCACAATCATCAAAACACTATCATCATTATTTCAATAAGTGAGATGTGACATAAATGAGTGTATGCATCTGAACAATCATGGAAGGACGGTGTTCTAAATTCATGTTTGAGTAATTGAAACCTTAAAATTTTTGAGATTAACAATATAATATATCATCATCAAAATCATCAAAATTTTGGATTTAACAAGAACACTTTCCATTGAAATTTGTATACTATAAACAAAATCAGCATGATCCCACTCATAAACCATGAAGCATGGAGAAGATTCATACTTGGAAGAAGAGAAGAGAGAAGAGAAGAACTTACTAGAGATGATTATATGAGACCGGGGAGAGAGATAAGAAGAAGTCACGAAGGAATTTGCGAAGAAGATGATGATGAGTAGAGCGGTGAAGGTGAAGAATGACTTCCAACACCTAAATCTAAGCTCCCGTGGCATGAGAATAGGGAAAGATGAGGGATTGAGGTGTGGGGGAAAAGAAGGAAGAAAAAACGGGTCGGGAAAATGGGAGAGAATGAGCTAGAATAGTGCTTTAAAACACTTTTCCAGTATACGATTGATCATGAATTGTGTAGGATTGACCGTAGTCAAGCTACGATCGGATGATTTGAGCACAAACGAAAACATTTATATGAATTTTGACCAGTACAATCGATTGTACTTCCTTATGATCGATTAATAGAGAGGAAATATTTTCAGAATTCTTCAGTGACTTACTACAGGAGCTACGATCGATCGTAGAATTTCCTATAATCGATCGACAGAGAGTGAATTAAGGATATTTTCAAAAACTTTCCTATAGAGACATGATCGATCATAAAACGGAGTATGATCGATTGATAGAGAGGTGTTTTTTAGACACTTGGGCAAAATTTTCATGAGGCAGACACGATCGATCATAAAAGAGGGTACGATTGATTAATAAAGAGCATTTCTTAGAGACTTTTCTGAAAATTTCTAAGGTAGGCAAATACAATCGATCATAACTGCATACGATCGATCGACAAAGAATATGATTTCTATAGTTATAAAAATGAAAGAAGAGAAATTAACCAAGAAACACTATCTATAATTACAGGAAGGAATGGAGTAATAGAGTTGAAGAACTCTATGAAACTAGGTTTAACGTCCCTAGAAGACGCAATTAAGCTCATAGATCAAGATAGATGGGATCCACCAAGGTGGCGGATTCCACATTCCTTTGCATATCATGACATTCAATGCATAATTACAAGTGTTGTCCACTAACTTTTAGAATTCTTTGGTCTTTCAAATCTTTAATTTCAATCGTTCCATGAGGTGAAACAAATATGATTTCATAGGAACCGTCCCATCTAGAGCGAAGTTTTTCGGGAAACAAACGAAGCTTGGAATTGAAGAGCTATACCTATGGTTATCATGAATAGCTTTTGCCTATGCTTTGTAAATTTTAGAATTTTCATAGGCATCATTCCTAAGTTCTTCCAATTCATTTAATTGAAGCTTACGGCAATCTCCGGCCTTATCAAGGTTAAAATTAAACTTTTTGATTGCCTAAAGCACTTTATGTTCTAATTCAACCGGAAGGTGATAAGATTTCCCATATACAAGCCTATAAGGAGGCATGCTAATAGGAGTCTTATAAGCCGTCCGATAAGCACACAAAGCATCATTGAGCTTCTTTGACCAATATTTTTCGTCCGGATTCACTATGTTTTCTAAAATTTGCTTGATTTCTCTATTTGAAACCTTTACTTGACCACTAGTTTGTAGATGATATAGGGTGGCAACCGTATGAGTGACAGAGTACTTTAAGAACAATTACTTCATGAAACGATTACGAAAATGCTTTCCTCCATCACTTATCATTGGTCTAGGCATTCCAAAACGACTAAAGATATTCGCTTTGATAAAATCAATAACCACGGAATGGTCATTAGCTTTGGTAGCACTAGTTTCAACCCATTTGGACATGTAATCAACGGTAAGAAGAATATATTCCTTCCCAAAAGACATTGGAAATGGTCCCATGAAATCTATTCTATACACATAAAAAATTTTGATAATGAGAATTGGATTTAAAGGCATCATGTCACTTCCGGACATCAAGCCCGTCTTTTGACATTTAACACACACTTTACAGAAATTGTAAGCATCGTTATGAATTGTTGGCCAAAAGAGACCACATTGGAGAACCTTTAGTGTAGTTTTTTTAGCATTAAAATGCCCACCACTAATTCCTTTAAAACTGAAAGCTATACCTCAAATCAAATAATATTAGTCAAAAACACAAAACTGTTGTGGTAATTGTTCAAAAAAATCGAAAGAAATATTTAGGGTTTCCACAAATAGTGGTTTCCCTTTCAAATATAACATAAAATCGAACAATATAGAAGATTTTTCGGTTCGATCTCCATAAAACAGAAAGAAAAACTAGGGTTTTCAATAAAAATCATAAAACAACTCCAAAATTGAAGAGTAATACACACCATCATTCGATTTCCATCCAAACAACAGAAAAAAAATACTGAAAAAGAGTCGACGTGTTGAACTTCTTCGAATAATGTTAAACGAAATGAGTCAAACTTTGCTTCTTCTTCGACGAAAAGTGTAAAGAGCATTAGATCGATGTTAGTTTTAAGCAAAAAATGTTTAAATCGATCGAAGTTAGCACCGTGCGGTGAAATCGCCCTAAATTGACACAAAGAACAACGATAAAGGAGAGCGAAAGTAAGGGGCGCAAATGACCTAAAATAACATAGTCTATATACCTACCAATACTATAGTGTTATAAGTTTGGCCTAAATATTTCCTTTCACTATAGTGTATGAAGTAGGCCAAACAGTACTGAATCATCTTAAAACAACCATTTTGGTGTTTCAAATTTTGAACCTTTTTTCAAAAATATTTTACAACGGTTGAAAACAAAACAAAATTCTACAACACATACTTTGGACGACTTTTGGACTATTATAGCGGACTGCGACAAAAACACCAAAAACATTCTAGATAAAGAAATCGTTCTACGAAAATCCAAGCAAACCGGAATCACGTGGCACTCAGTAAACGAAGTTTGTACAACATGAGCAGCATCGGCATTAAAATGATGGTGTACTTTAAATTTCCGGAAAAAAAACATGATGGTGTACTTTAGAGACTCCTAATATTAGCCGTTTGATCAAGAGACATCGTCATCCAATGGCCCAAAGGGTGCGCTAGCATCAAGATGGATTTGCTCAAACATATACCATCATATCCTCGGATGAGATGGGCGCTTGCCACACTGGATTGCCTCTCCATTGATGACACGTACAACCCTATTGGCGAACCCAAAACCCTAGATCGATCTAACCACAAAGAAAACCCTAAAAACTTATTTCTACCCAGCAACTCAATCTTCACGTCCAGCCGCAGTTAGCCCCATTACAGTTCAGACCGGTACCCTCTCTCCCTCTCTCTCTATATATATATTATATAAATTTGTAAACAAATTTGATGGTTGATTATTGAATCTGTGAATATACAGAGAGACGCGAAGATGAGTCGAGGCACAGGAGTGGGAGCCAAGGGGAAGAAGAAGGGAGTGACGTTCGTGATCGACTGTGCGAAGCCGGTGGAGGACAAGATCATGGACATTGCTTCACTCGAAAAATTCCTCCAAGAGAGAATCAAGGTCAGCGGCAAAGCCGGTGCGCTCGGCGATGTCATCTCCCTCACCCGCGACAAGAGCAAGATCACCGTCACCTCCGACGCCAGCTTCTCCAAACGGTAATCATCGATTCATATGTAACTATACACACATATATGATCATTGAGACCCTGTTTGGTATATGGGAAAGTTAGATCTGGGGTGTTTGTGGTTCTTAAAAACTGTGTTTTCCGTGGTATATTCTCTTAACAACAAGTTTTGGCATTGAATAAAAATGGGTCCATCTCAAAAAAAATGAAATCAGAGTTCAATAATAATGGAAAATTGACCGTGCCTTGTGAAATTGCACTGCAAAATTCTATTTTAAGCTATTTTTTTCGACGCTTGCATAGTTAGATGAGAGAATTTGGATTTGAACTTGTTGTATGACATCGTTTGATTATTGGGTTTCTTTTGTGATTGTTACAATTTTTTAGCTTGACTACAACAGAAGTAAGAATGCAGTTTTGGTGGTCAATCACTTTCACTTGTTACACCTAAATTTGACTCCTCATATCCGTTATCGGGTTTGAGTGTGCAAGTCCACCACTTGGTGATCATTTAGGTGATGGCATACTTAGCATATCTCAATTCGACTTAATCTCCTTGCAACATCAGGCTTTTGTGCCTGCAATAGTTTCTACATGGCATATTGTAGTTCTACAATGATAAGCATGCTGCTCTATCTTGTGCCTTATATTTTCAAAAGGAGATATTATAATAGTTTAAGGAACGACTATTTGCATTGAGGCTATCCCGTAATCGGCACAAAAAATATATGATTTTTCTTATGATAGTTTAAGGGGAGGCTATTTGCATCGAGGCAATGTAGGTGCAATTTCTCACACCCGAGCACTTAAAGAAATAAATCGGAAAGAAATACGCGAAATATAGAGGAGACAACCGACAATTTTGAAGAGAGGAACAATGATGGGAATTCGATGTCTTTCCATTCTCATTCATGCTCTATTTATAAGCTTTTTTCAGAGAATTACATGGAGCCTTTTTCCGGCATTTTTTTCCAGACGTGGGTATTTATGCATACTGATCGTGTGCTTATTTCTTTTATGACGGGCATTATGGGCTTGTGGGCTTGCCGTGATTGGGCTGACTATTTTCATGTCAAGCAGAGTTTCCTTTGCCAATCGGGCCGACTTGTCATGTGGTTTTCGTTATTGGGCTCCCAATCGGTAATGGGCCTCTGGGTGGTTTTAGTTTGCAATGGATTGTACTTTACTGCCACGTGGTATGTTGCGGTTGGTGGGGATTTTTCCTCCGCAGGCAATCCCATAATCGGCTCAAAAAATAAATGATTTTGCTTATGATAGTTTAAGGAGAGGCTATTTGCATTTAGGCGATCCCATAATTGGCTAAAAAACTATACTCCGATTTTGCGGCTTGTATTTGTATTCTACCATATATACATGACTATGTCAAGAAACGGGAGATGAGTTGGTGTCTCAGGATTGGAGTGAAGTAACCATTATTTGCTGATAACAGAGATTGTTTTTGAAGCTTTTATATTTTCAGCTTCTCTTTAAGATATTGGTCTTCAATCCACCTTGGTAATTTTTCGCTATTTGATATTCGCTCTCTCTAATCTAATCGAATTTTTGATGATCATTGTAGGCTTGGCTTTGCCACCATCTTTCTCTTTCTCGCTTAATTTATTATGGCATTGTATGCCCACAAAAATCTCGTTGGTTACTTTTTTTTTTTTTTTTGTTTCTCTTCCCCATTATAGGTATCTCAAGTATTTGACCAAGAAATTCTTGAAGAAGCACAATGTGAGGGATTGGCTTCTACATGGCATATTGTGGTTCTACAATAATAAACATGCTACTCTATCTTGTGCCTAATATTTTCAAAAGGAGATATTATAATAGTTTATGGAACGGCTATTTGCATTGAGGCTATCCCTTAATCGGCACAAAAATATATGATTTTTCTTATGATAGTTTATGGAGAGGCTATTTGCATCGAGGCAATTCCATAATCGGCTCAAAAAATATATGATTTTGCTTATGATAGTTTAAGGAGAGGCTATTTGCATTGAGGCGATCCCATAATCGGCTAAAAAAATATTCGATTTTACTGCTTGTATTTGTATTCCGCCTATATACATGACTATATCAAGAAACGGGAGATGAGTTGGTGTCTCAGGATTGGAGTGAAGTAACCATTATTTGCTCATAACATAGATTGTTTTTGAAGCTTTTATAATTTCAGCTTCTCTTTAAGATATTGGTCTTCAATCCACCTTGGTAATTTTTTGCTATTTGATATTCGCTCTCTCTAATCTAATCGAATTTTTGATGATCATTGTAGGCTTGGCTTTGCCACCATCTTTCTCTTTCTTAATTTATTATACCATTTTATGCCCACAAAAATCTAGATCTCGTTGGTTACCTTTTCTTTTCCTTTTTTTTTTGCTTCCCCATTATAGGTATCTCAAGTATTTGACGAAGAAATTTTTGAAGAAGCACAATGTGAGGGATTGGCTTCGGGTGATTTCTTCCAACAAGGACCGAAACGTTTACGAACTACGGTACTTCAACATTGCTGAGAATGAAGGGGAGGATGAAGATTGAAGACCCAGTTCAACATTGCTGAGAATGAAGGGGAGGATGAAGATTGAAGACCCAGTTCAGTATTTCCTCAACGTATCTGTTTTTGCCTGGCTTAACTGTTTTAGAGCTCCTTTGTCTTTTTTTATCCATCTGATCTATCAATGTGGTGAAGTTTTGAAATTTTGTTTCTGATAACGGGATATCTGGCATTCGTATTATTAGAGATGGCATATGCTAGAGAGATGTTTTTCTAGAATTTGATTATTGCTGATCTTTATATATCATCACATATTGATTAAAGTGCATGTGCTTTCTTGAAATTTTGTTTCTGATAACAGTTTTGTTGGTCGGGCTTGTTTAGCATTTTATGTGTTTCTCCATTTACTGAAATGAACATCATATGTCGTAAAATTTGATACGAAGAGGCCGTGCAACAGGAACTGGCCCTGTAATGTTATTACAGGGTTCAAAAACTTTATGAACTCTGCATTTCCATATATACATATAGTTGCTCTGGCCTCCATTACATGTTATTGAACTATTGAAGATCATGCGTGCGGTGCTGTTACATTACCGTGAATAGATTAAAACTTTGTGCTGATGTTCATATTCTTCATGTTTGTTTTGTTATCTTGTATTGACTACTGATTGGTATGCATCTTGTTAATTGCCTGCTTGGAGAAAATGCATAACTTCCGACAGCCATTGCTTCTCCTCTCTCTCAACTAATTGAACAAAAGCGAAATGATATGAACAGTGTAATTCAATTTAAGTTGCTAGATTAAATACTGTTGTAGGTAATTTAGATAAGTAGGTGTAGGCTTTTGAATTATTCTGCATAAAGGCTTCCTTTATGCGTGTGTGAGTTGAGTCTGCCAAGACTTGGAGGGTGGGCAATGGCAGCTGTTTCAGGAAGTGAAATGGCTAAAAACTTAGGCTATGGAAATAAAAGAAAGGATAACATTAGTTGGGAAAAGAAAAGATAGTATTAATTTTTTTGTTGTATTTGGTTGATTAATGAAGGGAAAGAAAGGAAATAATAGTAATCATGTTTGGGGAAAGAAAGCAAAGGAAATTATTGAATTTACAATCATACGCATTTCCATAGAGTTTTATTATTAATTTTTTTAAAATTTTTAAAATTTTTTATTTTTTTATTTATTATTATTATTATTATTATTTTCATAATTGGTGTTTGTATAAAAAAAAAAAAAAACATAATATTTACAGGCGCACAGAGAGCATATCCTCATAAAAGAATTGAAAAATCAATTCTGATAATGAAAAAATTCAAATCAAAGAAAATCAATAAAATTACTATCTATATAGATTTTGAATAGCAACATTGTAGATATCAAAAATTTAAAATAAGATTTGTCTAGCAGCATCTTGAGGTAGTCTAAATAAATAACCACGCAACTTGCCATTTCTTTCTTGCCAAATGCCTCACAATGCAGCCACAAAAATTGAATAAAACATCTTATTGGTCTGTTGAGAGAACCAGTACAGCAAGTCTTCTAATGTGGAAAATAAAGAAATATCAAAATTCCAGCTCATAATATACACAATCCATTGGAAACTATTTGCATAAGAACACTTGCATAAGAACACCCAACAAAAAGATGGTCTTTGGTATCACACTCATGTAGACATAAAGAACACCTTAAAGCTAATTGAACCTTCCTCCTCTGAATATTTACCATTGTAGGAAGCCTATCTTGAAACAGAAAAACACTAAACAGAGACCATCTAAGCCGAGATTTTCCCCAACAAACTTTAAACCAATCCACCTCTGGATGGTTTATTCTGCAACTTTCCCAAGCTGATTTGAAAGTAAAAGGACCTCCATCCCACATAAGGTGATCTGCTCTTGCATGAATAATCAAAGTCTGAACATAATCCTTAATTGGCCGGAACATAATGTCTTGTAAAAGCTTCAAATTCCATTCACCATTGTCCAAAAGAGTAGATAAAGGAGTATCCCAAGTAAACCCCAGCCTTCTAACAATTCTATGACCAAATTTTTGAATCAATGTTTGGCCTTCACATTAAGGGTCTATCAAAATCTTAAAACATTATGTTCACTAAAAATAATGTGCACAAAGTTTTTTTTTTTTTAAATAAGGATAAATTTTGTATTAATAAAGTTTCACTAAAAATATTATTCTTTCTTTCCATTTCCTCCCAAAAATGGGAGGATAACAAAAGCTACTATTATGCCTAATTTTTTTTTTCCTAATTGGTACTCACACACACGTCTCTTCTGAGACTTTAACCCCTGACCCCCCTTTGGGAGGTAAGAGCTGATACATTTAACCCACTAACCCGTTGGTACTATTATACCTAATTATATCCCTCTAAATCTTTCTTTTTCTTTTTCCTTTCATTTCCATCCATTATTTCTTATCCAACACATTTTTTCTTTTTCTTCTATTTCCATTTTTTTTTTTTTTTCCTTCCATTTCCATTTTTTGTTTAGAGATTTGTGAAATGGAGGTAGTTTTTTCACTGCCAGGGAAAACAATATAAAAAATGTAATGACCCGGTCATTTGACTCCCTTTCATTTTTCTGAAATTTTACGGATAAATTTTTTCCGTTTAATTTTCTTTTCTGAGTTCTGTTTCTTGTCACATAGTGTCGTCTCGAGTGCTTGGAATTGGTTTCTGAGACTCTTTCATGCGGATTGACAATTTCCTTTGAGTACCGAGTCATTTCCACATTTTCACTTTTCGGACACTATTCATTTTTTGTCCTTTTCCCTATTTCGTCCTTTTCCCTATTCTGTCTTTTCCCCGTTTGTCACTTTGTTGGCATAACCTCACTTTTCGTGCTTGGAGTTAGTTTCTGACTTCACGTGTCTTCATTCGAAGTGATTTCCACGAAATAAATATCTTTACTTTTGTGAGAAAGTACTCTAGTTACTCCCGGTGTCCATAGGGGCATGGATGTATAGTTCTTAGGAATTATTTTCTTTTCTTAGGGTGTTTTTCATAAATATCTTTTGAAGATATTTTATTTTAGGGGTATCTAAGAAAATATTTTTGGAAAACATTTTCATTTTGGGTCATTAGTGTAGTTAACCCTTTTTGTAGGGGCCATTGTGCAATTAAAGAAAGTTATTGCAAAATATCCCGTCCGGAACCTGGATCCTCGTACGGGATTCATTTTCACATTTCGTCGAGTCGTGTACTCTTAGAATTCCGTTCTGATCATTTTTCTCCAGTTTTAGAGTTTTTGGACCCGGTTGCCGCCGAACTTGTTTGGGGCATATCTCTCTGCTCGGGACTCGGTTTTCGATGCCGTTTATTTCGTTGTTCATCTTTTCTCATTTTGAATCTTTTTTCGTTCACAGAGTTTTGCCGTTTGAGCGCGTTTGCTCAAATTTCATTTTTTCGGACCTGGCGAAGCCCTTTCGAGGCACTTTTTGAGATTTTTCTATAAATAGGGTACATAAAGAAGAAAAGTCAGATTTTCTTCTCTCTCTCCTCTCTCTTGGCCGGCAGCCATGGCTGCCAAGGGGCTGCCATGCTTCTTCTTTATTTTTCGTCCACTTCCCTCGAGTGAAACATCGTAGTGCCTTAACGTTTAATGCTTGTCTTGATGACGCGCATTTTTCACCCTTATTAGAAGCCATTTCTGATCATTTCTTGAGTTCGGTTTTGAAGTCAAGTTGTGATTTTCATGGGGCTTCGTTCGGATTCTTGTTCACCGTGTTGTCCCCGGTAAAACCCTTTGGTATCATCGGATTCGGAGCACTTTTATTTCGGTGGGCCTTTGAGGTTTTCATCTCAAATTGAGGTAGGGGGTGTTATATTTTATTTTATTGTTATATTGCACATTTGTGATGCATATACAACTTGTTTACATGCTTTGATATCGAATCTAGAGATTTTATTTATTTATTTTCTTGTATGAGATTTGATTTTCCCGGTTACTCATAGCTTGGTTTAAATATGTAGCGTGATATTATATTATCCCTTGATATGGTCATTGACATATATTAAATTGAGATTATTTGAATAAGTATTAAAATTTTTATTTAATATTTATTTTAAGTGAAAGATTAATTCATGTGGCCTTAACTAGTTTAAAATCAATGTGTGTTAGCATATTATATTAGGCCCTAGCATGCTCTTCAACATAGATTAAATTGAGAAAAATCGGAGACATTTTGAAATCTAGTAATATTTAATTAATTTGATTAATTAATTTATTCCGAGTGTACTATTCACTCAATGGGATTTCCGACTTGATATTCTTGATGTGCATGCCATGTACTCCCACATATATTAAATCTAGAATATTTGATTAAGTTTTGAAACTTTTCATTTATTATTATCTAGTATTAAGATTAAATACTCATGGCCGTATCTTGCACGGAATATACTCGTATCGTGTCTTTAAATCTAGTCTTGACATATTATATAACACATATTAATTTGAGATCATTTAGATAAGTTTCAAATCTAGAGATTTTAATTAAGTGAGTTAATTAAAATCCATTTAATGGTCCCTTGTACTTGATTAAGTTTCTAACCTTGTATTCATGATTTTCTTGACAAGTTCCTTCACGTATATCAAATTGAGAATAATCGGATAAGTTTTGAAACTTATATTTAATTATTTCTTTTGTATGGGACTTAATTCACATGGTCGTATATTGTATGAAATGAAATGGCAACTTGACATTAGACTTGGCCTTGACATGATCCTTGACTTGTATTGTAATCTTGACAATTTAATCCCTTAAGTAGATTAAATTTCCTTATATGCGTCCATCGCGTTAATCATGCTTTGATATTGAAATCTTGTTAAACTTGTGAATTGTACTTGTATTTCATAAACTTGTACCTTTTTTTA